GCAGTCCCTGGCGCTGTGTAAATAGTGTGCGATGAAGGAATGGGCATCAGGGTAAGAGAGCAGGGTGGCTGTGAAGCCTCCGCAAATCCCGCCCGGTGCTCGTTGGCAGGGTCCTAGCCGCAGACTTGGGGATTTGCTCTTCCAAGGAGAGGGATAGACGTGGTCAGTTCTGCCTCCTCTCTCGCCGTCTGCGGGGGCATGGACTTGACGTGTCAGTAGCTACAGCGGCCGTCCCAGAGCCATGAGGCTACAGGCACGAGAGGAGCCGGTAAAGAAGGACATCGCCACAGCGGGAGCCACGGCTCACCATCACCCTGAACTTCTCATTAAGAGCTAAAAGGGACCCGTTTGTGAAGTCGCTGTAAACTGAGATTTCCTTTCCCTGGTTTTCTTATGTGCAGCTGAAAACATCCTGACGGTACTTTCCGAACTGTCTTCAAAACCTCAGCTGGGACCAGCTTGGAGGAGCCTCTTGGTTTCGCGCCCCCAGCGGTGGCTCCTCCCGGAGCCCCGGTGGATTCCCCGGGCCGAATACAATCACCTGCCTTTTTTCAAAGCTAATTTAGACATTTCCCGTTATTTCAGGGGAAAGCGATTTGTGATTCACAGAAAAGCCGGGTTGGACTTGTGTAATCATAGTTGCTAAGATGTCATTCTGAATCTCTTTGTTGTAGCAAAGGGCTTACCCAACACTCTCAGCTCTGCGTTGGCATAAATGCTCTGGTGTCTGTTTTCCGCAGCGCACTGGTAGACGCCGGAATCGGACACGTTCAGCATCGCTATGGTGAGTGTCCCGTTTTCTACCTGAATTCTTTCCTAATAAAAAAACAAGCCATGTAAAGATGCCAGTGAGTGAGTGTGGACATTTCCTTAATCAGAGCACATTATGAGGTGTCTGTGCAGTTGATGCGACAGGACGGGAGCTGATGCTTATGAAGATGAGCCAAGTACAGTGAAAGACCTGAGCGGCTTCCTGGGGTTAGAAAAAAGAAATGGAAATAGGCTCGGTGTGATTTTAGCGGCTAGCCTGTTTCGTTCCCCCATTTCTTTGGAAACTGGCATTACCTGCATAGCATGTACGTCAAGTCCCTGTTTATATTGGGTGTAATTTGGAACCTGCCACTGTTCCGCTTACTTTAGGAAACCAGGTTGACTGTAATACTAGACACGGATATAGGAATTAGAATATTTCCTTGCTTTTCCATCACAAGGTCTCAAAAAGACTTGAATTGATTACTCGGTAATTTTCTAATTGAGTCATAAGAAGGAGGCACTGAATTTTCTTTTCTGCGGGCGACCGTAAGTGTGTTTAAACAGCCCCAATCCGTTACAGAGTCCCATTTGGGGTGCAGAATTACACCTCCGAGTGCATGTTACAAAACCGTTTAACATTGCAAACGCAACTCAAAACTATTTCAAGGTGCCTATTACCATCCTTTGAAGAATAACAAATAGCTGAGGAAACAGAGGATGTTCTAGGCAAGAGGCATGTGGGGAAAATCCCACTGAAGCCGAACAAAGACCATCATTACGTTCAGCCTCTAAACAACAGATGTCTTTTGTGTCTCTGGCCGTGCCTACACGTGCAAAGTAAAATGGAGAGTTAACATGGTTATTTGGATAATTTGATGGGGAAAACCAGCTCTGTCTCGTTTTCTGTGTATTGTGGAAGAGAGTAGGCTTGAGATTAGAAACTGTGGAAAATGGCCGGTGTTCTCCACTCTCCTGTGGGTTTAGACTCAATCGTTGGTTCTCACAAAAGCACGATCCTGGGTAATGGTGAAGACCTTGGGTCCTGGAATCGGACCGACTAAGTTTAGAACACTGATTCCAACATTCACCAGGTGCTGCGTGGCCTTGACCAAACTCCTCTAAGATCAGTTTTCTTCATCTATGTAAAGAAATAATAATCTCGTCTCTCAAGGTTGTCATGAGGATACAATAAAATAAGGCGTGGGAAGTGTTTAGCACAGGCTGTGTCGTGGGAGGGTTCAGTAGATGTTAACGGTGATGATCATGGTAATGCTGATGATGGTGATGCTGATGGTGGTGATGTTATTGATGGTGATGTTATTGATGGTGGTGATGTTGAAGATGATGGTGATGATGATGGTGATGTTGATGGTGGTGATGGGTGGTGATGTTGAAGAAGGTGGTGATGTTGATGATGGTGGTGATGTTGAAGATGATGGTGATGTTGATGATGGTGGTGATGTTGAAGATGATGGTGATGTTGATGGTGATGTTGATGGTGGTGGTGATGGGTGATGATGGTGGCCCCTGAATGTAAGTCTGTTACTGACAGTATGTGACCTGTGAAAATGCTGTGTCTTCTCTACCCTTCGTTTTCTCAATGGAAAATGGGAATAATAGTAATAGCTACTTCGAGCTTGTTTAAGGATTAAATAAATTAGTCTATGTAAAGAATCTGTTGCATTCCCTGGCACCTACTAAGCACTCATACATGTTAGTTGTCACTGTTAGTGACAAAGTTTCCCCGTCCGAGTAGGTGGGTTTTAATATCTACCCCTCTGCTTACCTCTGGATTGAGTCGCTCACCATTCTTTAGCCACGTGTACCAGGGGCTAGGCTTTCCACTGGCCTTGCATTCCCAAAACAAGCTGTCGTAAATAGACAGGTATGTGTTCTGGATTTTTTGTTCCCATTCTGGAGGGGCTGTTCCGAAAAGAGACAGAGAGCAACCGTTTGGCAAGCTGGTTATTCTAGGCTTTGTGCTCCCGCTTGAAGGCTGACCGGGTCTGGAAACGCTGGACATGCAGGGGCTTCCATGATGGGCAACAGAAATCTTGCTGCGAATATCATGGGCCTTTGGCACAAGATCTATATGACCTTTGTCATTTCGCTGCACGTCTGTGACAACCTGGGAGTGCAGGGAAAGGTCCAAGGGCAGGGTGAGGCCAGAGCATGCGTCGGGTTAGAAAACGTGAACCCGCTCCAAACCCGGTGTGGGCAAAGACCACTGGTTCCACGTGACCCGAATCAACTAAAATTAAGTGTATCTGTGTCAGACATTATGCTTCAAGCTCAGTAGCCTGAAGCATAACTCCAGTATGGGCCTCATTGCACTTTCTCAGATATAACCCATTCCCCCAGGTGAAACCTGTGACAGGGAATGAGGGCTTGTGGCGTGGCTGTTGGCCCCCGCCTAATGGAGTCCTGGGTGCTTCTCCCCAAACCTTATCTTTAACCTAAGAAGGCCTACGTGGTAATGAGGCAGAGAGCCCGTGGGGCCATTGCTGTGAAGGTGTTATTTGGGCGAAAGGTAGTGTTATCCTTGCTCTCATGCACGGACAGGTGGGGTGTAAATTCAGTGTCCTGAGGTTAACGGCTGCGGGAGGTGCACCTGCGGGGCGTCGGCTGCCAGCTGAGGACGCAGGGCAGGCGAAGGAGCCTCGTTTCGGGTTGTTCTGAGTTCCTAGATCTGACAAACAGGATCTGTGGGCTCTTGCTCAGTTCATCTCAGGTTTCTTACCAATAATATCACTGAAAGTTACTTCTGCATCTTATTATTATGAGAATTATAGGAGCTGGTGTTTATGAAAACGTCTGTGTGAGCTAACAGGGGCTGCACCAGTGTAGGAGAGAGCACTTTGTTATTGATTTCCAATTTATAGATACCTCCCTCTTCTGCTTAATCTCTTGGTTATATGTGTGTCTATTTAACAGAAAAATGGGGAATCTATTAAAAATGAGCCAAAGCTAAAAAACTTGGTGCAACTCAAAATCTCCCAGCCACATCCTTCTTATTTTCCTTACAAAAGATGCTAGATTCCTAAGACTTTCCTTTAAGAAGCAGGGGGTCTTGGAAAGAATAAATATCTAAATGTAAATATACATACATATGGGGTAGCATTGCTAGCGCCGTAGAGAAACCATCAGCAGGGATTCGTGTTCTATATATAAAATAGTACTTTTCATTCCAGGTTAAAATTGAAAGTCTGGAAGGAAATGGGAGCTAATATAGCCGGGGCACATTACCTGGTCCCCACAGGACGCTCGAGCGGCTTTCCTGTGGCTGATATCAGTGCCTTAGACTTGGCCCATTATCAAAGGATACATTTCTCCAATTACTTCATCAGTGATTCCTAACCCATCACATACAAACATGTCATGCAGAAAATTATTCGGGGCCATGTAGATGTACAGGCTTTAAAAGCTCTCTAGGACGGATGTATTACATTTAATAAAGAAGTTAAGGATATTTTACAAGCTTTCAACGTTACAGTAATTCTGGGGTCTGTTTCATAGTTTGATGAAGAAACATGACGTCAATTTAATGCAAGTGTTGTGTCTTGGCCGGGATAGGGGACACCTAAAGCTGGCGTCAAGGTAATAAATCGTCTCTCTCGATTACCACGAGAGTCCGGTAACGGAGGCAAACCTATTTTTAAGTGAAGTAGCGACTTTGCTTTTCTGTTACCTACATGTGAGCAGACAGATCTGGGACAGAAACGGATCCTGACAACTACCGCTCGGTGTTAGGCTCCCGCCCGCGTCATTTCTCCTTCTGCGGCTGGGGAAGCCGTGGCTGCGGCCGAAACGCCCACGTGGGAAGCGAGTGCATTCCGTGGGACTCTGGGTTATGAACCTGCGTGGCTTGCACACCACGCGGCTGATGTTTTCAAGGTCATTCTAACAGACAGCAGCGTGCACAGAGCGCTGAGACTCGCCGCCCGCTAGTCACCCGCTCAGCATCCTAACGGGAAACGCAGCTCCCCGCCTCTCCAGGCCGGGGGCCCGCAGCGGCTGGCGGCCGGTCCGCCGCACGCCCCGAAAGCCCTGCTCACCGTAGGAGACGAGGCGGCCCCTCGCCAGGTTCCTCCCGCGCGGGTTGCCGGCGACGCACTCGTAGGAGCCCTCATCCTCCTGTTGAAAGTTCGGGATTTCAAGGGTAGCCCGGGATTTGCTGTACGTGACTTTCCCTGGCAACGGGCTTCCGTCCAGCCTCCTCCAACTAATATCGGGGACTGGGCTGAACAGTTACACCGCGTTAGAACAGCGTCCGGCTCCGTCTTGGGATAACAGGGTAAAATGAGTGTCCTTAAAATTAACTCTCAAGGAAACAACCCAGCGACTCCATCGCAGGGAGGCTGGCGCTCGGGCCCTGCGACCGTTTGCATTCGCTCAGCGGCCTGTGACACCTCATTAAGGGCCTGCCATGCTCAGGGCGCTATGATCAGAGAGTAAACTGTGAGTAAAATAGACATGCTGTCCGCCCTTGCATTGCTCACAGACCAGAGGAGCAACAGGCAATAAATGATAGAAAACAGATCTATCTGTAAATTGCAAGAAGGGAAAGAAAGGGAACAGGCTGCAGAGATAGTCCCACGAGTACATCAGTTTAAACGTGAAGTTCGGGAAATTCTTTGAGGGACATGACACTTCCGAGCAGGCGGGCTCTCTCCGTATGTGTGGATTCTAAGGAAAAAAATACAGATTCCCCCAACGCCAAATTGGCCCTAGCAGGCAACTGGAGAGGTAGGTGGTGGGTAAGCTGGGTTACCAAGGGGACTAGCAGTGTGATGGACCCTACGAGCCTCAAACACTGTGCTCACCACCCTATTTGACAAAAAGAAAAACAGCAATAAGTCAGAGAGCTTTACATTGAACCCGTCTCCCCTTAGAACATGTAGAGTTCCTTCAGTTATGGGAATTTAGCTCAATATTGTATGTCTAGTATCTCTAGTCTAATATGAATGTATTTTTAATATATAAACTTAATGTCTAACAATAAAGAGTGGATTTAGAAATCTGTGGTTTGGAAGGCCTCACTTTTATACGCATCATATAACGAAACTCAGGCTATCAACCAAATTATAGCAGGACAGTGCTCCCTGACAAGCCGTCATTTATAAAATCAATCCCATCTGCTTACATCAGGGCTGGGGAACCTTTTCTCTGTCAAGGGCCATTTGGATGTTTATAACATCATTCATGGGCCATATAAAATTATCAAGTTAAAAATTAGCTATGACAGAAGCTCCTAGATTTATTACATTTCACGTCCCGCCTACAGTTGCCTTGGCCGGGCCAGATCAGATGATTTCAAGGGCCTTATACAGCCTGTAGGCCGGATGTTCCCCACCCCTGATTGACATTAACATCTCTCCTGTCCCCCAGCACATCACTCTTCATCCCCATAGAGACTGTCGGGTGATCTAAATATGTATATTCTAAATGTATTTTAAATTAATAATAATAAAATCATTTTGCAAAGTCAACTTATCAACTTTGTAGAAGAGGCAGGTTTTTTCAAGTTGATAAAAGTGACCAGGGAGAAATTTCCAAGGATGTGCAAAGCGGTGGACACGAGTCTGCAGAGTTTGAGCTGTGAAATCACCCCAGAAAGTAGGTGGCGAGGACCCAGCAGAGGCCCCAAAGGAAACGAGACACTGCTACAGCCCTGGAAGGTTTTGCTGGCCAACGACTTTGATCTTTCTGTGGAAACTGAAGATGCCGTTGGCACAGAGAGGCACAGAAGTGCTCGCACACGTGTCGGAGAACATGCCCCGGAGTCCATGTTTCAGTCTTACATTGTTTCATAATTACCACGTGGTTTCAAACAAACCTTGGATTTTAATACAAAGTAAAATCGTGATTATCATAAATTGAGTTTCTGTCCTTTTAGAAAGTCTCGCCGCTTACTACAAAATTAGGCTGACATTTTAGGAAAATGGCATGTTCCTGCCACAGTTAACCTCGGATAACTGGCTTTCTGTCCACTGTCCTCACGGAATAACAAACTGGCAGAGACAAAAATGAAGTTCTGCAGGAGCATTTACTCGCGTAGAAGGATCTGCACCAGGTCTGAGGGGTCCTGTGCCAGACGCAGGACGACCCGGTTCCCAAAAGCACGGGGCATGGGCCTGAACGTGCGAAAAGTTATCGCCTCGGGGTTGGGAGGACTCTGTGTCTTTTATTCTTCACTTTCTGTTTATCTCAATTTCCCATTATTCCCCTACAATGAGCGTGTATGACTCGTGCAATAAAACATTCTAAGAAAGTGTGTTTACAGAGAGAAAAAAGGAAGCTCCGATGCCTGTCCGAATGCCTGACCTTCGGTCTCTTTGTGACCGTGAATCTTACATTTATGACAGAGACGTGCCCAGTGTCCAGCTGGAAAAGCTGGTAACCGTGAGCATTCGGACAGAATAACTTCAGTGAAGAGCCCTGCCCATGCTTAGATCAGTTCTTCGATTGTGAAGACAGAGCCCAACTTTTAACATAACTAAATACCTAAATCTCGGAGCCAGTAACAGAAGAGTTTGCTATTTAATGACGGTGATTGTGACTGTATCACAACCAGTAGTTACTGATTACTAAGCACACAGAGGGCCGGGGGCTACGCGTGTGGATAGCATGCGCATAGTGTCATTGACTCCCCCGTAACTAAAGGGGCGGAGCCGGGATTGTGTCCCGGCTTCTTTGCCTCTCGGACCCCAACACTCCCGTAAGACCCTCCTCTGGTAGCTTTGGCATCTGCGGTTTTACAGAAAGTTGGTCTCAGTTTCAAGTGGGGAGTAAAAGAACAAGTCCCACGAAGCTCAGCTGCTCTGACTCCCTCCCCCAGAGGAACTCGGTGACGCCACGGCGTCTCGGCACAGGCATTGCTCGCCCGATGGGGGACACGGCCCGTCTCCAGGGGAGCCCGTTCCAAGGGAAGCTGTGCAGGAGGGAACGTCAGCACCCGCCCCTCAGGTCCAGGAGCCCCCGCAGCCCCGCACGCCCCCCCCCAAGGTCAGCACCGGCCTCTCTTCCTGACAGTCGCCCTCCAGCTGCCAGAGCTGACGTTTCCCGCGACCCGGGCTCACGGCACCTGGGCCTCGGGGCAGAGCACAGGATACAGCCCTGCGGTTAGAGGCTCCTGCACTGTGGCCACTGCCACCGTCAACGTGGGAGCCAAGGCCACCCGATCAGACAGCCAGATGAGGCTCGGGGCTGCTTTCGGAAGAGCTACTGAAGAGGGAGCCTTTCTTCGTGGGAATTGGTTCAGACTGTGGGATGTGAACTTGGGGCTGTCCCGCCAGGTGGAGAAAGGGGCTTTGAAAGCAAAGCTCACGCAAAGGGGGAGAAATTGGAATTCTTCACGTGTGTAGATCAGGTTACGCCTGGTGCCAGAAGTCTCCCTTTGAACACGTCCGTTGGTCAGTTTTTCTCTTAGGTTTGGGCCTGTCTGAGGCATATGGCTGCTGATCCCATCAGGCAGGGCCTGGTGGGCAGGTTCTGGACGCCTGGGTCCCCACGTGCGCGGCTCCTGCCTGTCTGTGGGAATGAATTACACTGTAGGGCGCATTTCTCCTGGATAGTCTGCTTTATAGCTTAGATAGCTGAGAATTCTCAGGGCAACTACACTATCAAAAAGTAATCACTCAAACAGTAAAATAACTTTTTTCCCATTTAAAATTCTTATCAAGTGCATCTTGTGGCTACATTTCATGTTAACAAATTTCTATTGGGAAAAAAGGAAGCAGTTTTGCAAGATTGCACAGATATTATTTAGATGTTGAGACTGGTCAGATTTGTCACGTCGCCGCCGAGCAAGGAGGCCGGGTTCTCGTATTACTGGTAACGGGACACAGAGAGGCAGAGAGAACAGGAGTGAAACCTGGGCAACACCAACAGGCAGGTGCATTCCAAGGACAAGTCCGCGTTTGGGTGGGACCTTCCTCTGAAGACACGAAGCAAACCGCTTAGAGTCCCCACCCTCTCTCCTGAAGCCTCGCGAATGCTCAGAGCAGTGGGGTCCCCAGGGGCCCTCAGGAGAGGGGTCACTGTCCAATCCCTTGGAACTTTGCCACTAGAAAGTAAGTCACAGTGAGTGGCGCCCTCGTCCTCACTCCCGACACCCGCCGACTCTGGCCACACCCCTGCTTCCGCTACAATCCTCCAGATTTTTTATTGTCCTCGTGTTTGATGCCGAAGCCGGGCTCGGATACGACCCTCAACAAAGAAACCACCTTGTGATACTGCGCGGATGCAACAGGGACCTCACCCTCTGAGAGCGCGGGGGCCCGAGAGCAGGACGCTGAGAGACGGGCAGAAGGCCCCGCGCGACCTCGCTCACAGGCGGAGGCTAAGAACCAAACAAACTGAACAAAACAGATCCCGAGACACAGAAGCGTGGGCCAGACTGAGGACCTCGGAGGGGAGGGGGGTGGGGAGAG